GAAAGGTTAAGTTAAATTAATGACTGCCTGCAATTTTACCACAAGCAGGTAAATCTAGTCTCTCTTACCCTGGAGATATGGACTTTTGAGTTTGCAAGCATATCTTGAGAGCATTCAGAAAAAAACATAGGCTTCTTAGAGAATCACATTCTTTCAGACATTGAGTGACTAAGGCACAGAGTAACCTGAATTAGCCACAACAGCTCTAATTACTAAGAGTATGCCATAGTTCTGACAAAAATCTCTAGTTTGCTATGTTTCAAATTTCCATCTGGGGCAAGAAATAATTTTTTCTTATTGTGTTGTTAAGTAATAGGCTTAGAAACATTCCCATTCCCAAAGTCTTACCAGGAGAGACTAGGACAGATATCAAGTCCCTGCCCAGCAGTGTTTTGCATGATGTGATGAAGGATCCATTTGAACCATATGATACAATATATTGACTCCCATTTTTAAAAAGTCTGTTTGCTGTACCCATAAAATTGCAAAGGCTTATGTTTTGTGTTTATGACATATTCTTTGAAATAGCATGATTAGTATTGATTTTTAAGTGCAAAACCCCCACATTTTTTTATTACCAAAAGGAATTTTTAGATTGAGAAGACTCATACTGTTTCCCAGAACTTCAATCGAATGCAGTCACAGGGACCATAGAAGTCTAATCACTGAACCCTGACTAATTCAATCCTAGAAATCCTGTCTGCTTAGAAAAAGGGACAACATAGGGATCTTTAAAAAAGGACTTCAAGGCTAGCATTATTTTTGTGGTAGAGGCATTGCAGTGCAGAGAGAAAGAAGTTGTACAGATTCTCATGGCATAGTGCATTCTTCAGTGCTCTAAATAAGGCACAGATTTTTGATTTTTGTCCTGGAGTTGTTTCAAGCATGGTCTTGTAGACAAGTTACGTGAACAGGTACAAATCCAGCACTGAGTGTAGCCTAGACACTGCTCCTGCTCAGCAGTGTAGCCTAGCAGAGGGATGGGTCAAGGCATGCCCATGGCTACCTTTGATGTAGCCATGAGTGGCCATGGTGGGGGACATACAAAGAAATTCAGTCACAACCCTATAAGTGTTAGATAAGTTTCCCAACTTGTAGATTCGTTACATAAATTCCCATAAATTCCCATAAATTCCCATAAATTTTTCAGCTCCATTTTGTTATTAATCTGTTATTCACAGCTTTGATGGACAGATACAAAGATGGTTGTTCTTTTGCCTTTTTTATATGTCCAGTATTTTGTGACTGTTTTTTCTGAAAGCCAAGGAATGGATTTTGTATTAAAAAAAAAGGGTGTTGCAGTTAGTAGTGTGACCAGAGGAACTGATTTTTACACTGCAACAAAATGCTATTACCCTCTAGAACTAATCTTCTTCCTGAAATTTTAATTAAATTAATCTCCACCTATTAAATATTTGGAAAACTGCCACAGTTAGCTTTATACATTCATTTTGTGTATGAAGAAACTGTGGCTGGTTTCCAAAGACAGTGAAATCAATAGCATATTATACAACAATGTAAACATAGAGGCTGCAGTTTGCACTCTTGCTGTGTTCCTACAACAGCAGCACCCAAGGGAGGATCCTTGGAAAAGGACAATGCTGCCTACAGCTGCACATGATCTCTGCGGGTTTCAGTAGGGAGAGGAGACTCCTGACTGTGCAGGTTAGGGAATCTGGCTGGAAAATGTTCTGAGTCATTGCGATTCAATGAAGGACTGAAAGTTGCAGTAGTGCATTAATATCAATAACAAGTGTAGGTAAATGATTCATAGGCTAACAGGAACTATTGTGATTTTCTATTCTGGAGATTTTTATAATAAAGGTATAGAATTTCTCTCTGTAGCTTCTGGTAGAGCCTGGACATTCTTTTTCTGTATCTCCTCAGTATCTCATAACATGAAAAAAACAAAACAAAACAAGACAAACAAATGAAAACCCTAACCAAACAAAAAAACCAAACCAAAACAAAAAAATCCACTAGCTTTAGTTTATACTTCTTTTACAGCAACCTGACACATGGAACAGTGTTGTGGAGTTAATCTGACATTCCTCAGCTGATTATTTCAGGTTAGAGTTGAGATATAATAAGGCATTAGGAAGACTTTCATAGGAGAGCTACTGACTTCAGTAGTGAATTCAGTATTAATTACATTGATGCCAATAAGTTAGACACAGCAGGTACACATAGTATGATACAATCCAGAAAAGCTTTCAGTTACTTCAGATACAACAAGGTGGAAAAGAAACTGTCACAGAAAAGTGAGGTGATTTGCAAAAGGTGACATGTAACATGACAGGTTACTGTCTCAGCTACAAATAGATCAGTCAGTGTGCACTCAACAACCAGCAAAGTGAGCCCTTGCCTTTTTCTTTTTTGTTTCAGAAGCAGCAGCTTGCTGTCAGATGAGGTCATGGACTCTCCTCCAAGTTTCATGGCCACAATTAAGCATTCATATTTTCCTCTTTTTGAAACTTTCATACACCATAAGCTAGGTTTTCTTTTACAGCAAAAAGGTCATTTCCCACAGAATAAATTAACAATAAGAAAGATTTTTCTCTAACTGAAATAACAGTTTACATATTGCAATGTACTTAAACAATTAGTGCCTTTCATTTTCTTACACATTAAAGAATTTCACCATCGCCAGGTTTGACCATGCATATATAATAAGCATTTAAATCAACACAGTAAAACTATTGTGGCCAACAAGGGTTTTGTAGAGAGTTTTTTCCATCTAGAAGGCAAAAAAAGCCCGAATCAAATTAATATTTCTCATTAGTTTGAGCGAAAAAAGGTGATTCTGTACCCATTTCAGGAGAAAAAGGTCTGTTCTTTTCACTCAGGTTATTTTTAATGTGTTTTGAATAATAACCTAAGGAGCCTCTCATTTACACATTGAGCTGCTGGCTGCACACTACTTATACCATGAAAAGGGAAAGGACGGCATTATGCAGCTCTGTCAGTCCCTTAATGTTCATTACTGCTGGTTTTCTCCACTGGGGACCAAAATGGTTTGAACTGAAATTGCAGAGGCAATTAACTAAAGATTATTCAGTATGAGCTTCATTCACTGTTGATAGGTTTTGGTGTGAGCCTTGCTGTTTAACAATGTAAAGGCATCTCCTACATTCTTTTCCCAATAATATCTGAATTCTTCCAGGTTTTCCTGATAACTAGAAGCAGGAGATACACAAACACATGCAATGCTGTGGCTGTCAAGTTCAAGTATTTCTAGTATGAGATGAGCTGCCCGCTTACATTATCAACTAAAGGGAAAAAGAAGCCACACTAATAGCAAGAGACTTAATAACAGATACACATATTAAATAGAAAACACAAGGCAGAGAAATTATTGATTTCAAAAATCAGTGAAAGAAGGAAAAAGAAAAAGAAATTATTTCCTTCAAACATAACATTCTTTGATTTGCTAAAATCTAGGCAATGAAGAAATAATAGTAGAATTTCTTTACCAAAAAAAGTTGTAAAACAAAATAGTCGCTTTCTTAATGTAAATGTTTTGTTGGTATCAATTCCTACTGACACGAATTCTCAGCATTATGAAAATTTTGCCTGGTATAATAAATGAGGTAACAATGTTTTTATATGAAGCTAATTAATTTCATTCCAAAATTGCATTGTTACTGTTAACCCCAAATTAATGACTGTTCTATCTTCACAGACTGATCTCTATATTATTAGAAGAATGAAGAAGAAATTACATCACTTTATATAACATATACACTTTTCACTGTCTCCTTCCAAAGAGTTCTGAAAAATGAAAAGCAAGCAGATAGAATACAAATAAGATGGGTTAGCTCAAGTGCTGGTACAAAAAATTTATTTTCTCTTGCTCAAATTTTTGAATATTATTTTTTTTCTGGGATATTTGAGCAGCTTTAGTTAGTGTTATTTGTATCTACTTCATGTTGATTACATGATAAAACACTAGATTCATATTCCCTGAAACTCATACTCCATGATTATTACAAATTTTTTAATTGACATTAATCACTTTTAAACTCTTGGAATGGGCAGGCTGTTATGGGTCATTGTTGGTGCGCAATGCAGTACTGTCAGAATTTGGAAATAATGTGCTTTCCAGAAAAAGAGAATTTGTAAAGCCAAATCTGCATTAGACAACACAGATTTTAGTAATTTTGCAATATGGCAGCTTTTGTTTTAGTCTTGAACTCTGTCCTTTGAAATAAACTTGATGGCCTGAGTTTTCCTCTTGGATATCCCACAACGTGAATAAAACCTTCCTCCTTCTTCCTTTCTATCCTTCTCCAGCATTCCTGCTACCCTCCCCACAGCAGTTAAGTTATTCATATACCATATTCAGCGTTCCTCTGTGACAAAACTGGTTTAGGCTGTATTATCCTAATATTCTTATCTATGCCTCAAGATCTCATTTGGTAATTCCCACATGTTTCTCTCAGGCCCTTTGCCTATATTTGAAATAGCTGACCAAATGACAGGCTGGTTCAGGCTATATCTGTGCTGACTACCACCCAAAAGCTGGATCATAATTTGACCTTGGTGTCTCAACTGTGTGGGGATCAAACCAATAAAGGACTAGGCAGTCTTTCATTTAGCAAAGTCTACATGCAGCTTTTGCTTTTTATAAATATAGTCAGAATTTAATACTTGTAAGACAGCTGTCACTGTAAAATAATATGGTAAAAGAATTTTGGTGTGACTGGCAGAAAGCAGATGAATACTCACATCTTCCTTTTTTAGTTAGGAAACTGGATTACAATTCAGTATTGAACCAAAGCTTTTACAGCGTGCTGCTGCAGACATTGAAACTCATCATGTTTTTATGCATACATGTAAACCTGTTGTTTCACTTGCGGTTCAGTAGAACAGAATTTGACCAGATGTTCATGTCTTCACTCTGATACATTTTATGATGAATTTTGATTGTGAAGCCAGACTGATTTAGGTGTAGATGTATGACATCAGTAGCTTATGACAGAGTAAAAGTTTTGGGTTTTATCTCTAGCTTTGCTTAAGGTTCATCTCTTTGTTTATATCTGAAGGAAAACAATCTCTATGGATTTAGAATATGTAGATGAGATCTGAACAATGGAAAACTGAGAGAGAGAAGATGCAAATACTTAGACAAGCTCTAAGTTCAGCAACCACAGCTGTTCTCCTCACCTCAGAAAATGCCCTTATTTTTTATGCAGGTCACCACCAATGATACATTATCCACAGGGATGGATTGCCTGCCCTTCTACCGCTCATCTCCTGCGTGCGGCACTGGTGATCATGATATTCTTTTTGGAAATATATCAGTGCTAAATCCAAGACAACAGATCAATGGCTTAACTTCTTTCCTTGATGCTTCTACAGTCTATGGCAGTACTCCTGCTGTTGAAAACAAACTGAGGAATTTAACAAGTGAAGAAGGTCTTCTTAGAGTAAACCTTATATATTACGATAACCATCGGGAATACCTGCCTTTTACAGACCGGATCCCATCACCTTGTGCACAGGACTCAAATGCAAGTGAAGGGGAAAGGATTGAATGCTTTCTGGCCGGAGACAGTCGATCCAGTGAGGTCACTTCTCTGGCTGCTATGCACACGCTGTGGCTGAGGGAACACAACCGCCTGGCCCGAGCCCTCAAACGTATCAACAGCCACTGGAGCGCGGAGGCAGTCTACCAAGAAGCACGAAAAATTGTTGGTGCTCTGCATCAGGTTGGTTGCTTATTTGCTTGTCTACACATTGCAGTGAATATCTTAGAACAGAACTGATCATAAAACTCCAAATATGTTTCTGTGAGTGGCTTTTGACGACTTACTTTTTCCTTCCCACTTATTCCTGGGCTTCGAATTTGACAGGTTTAGTTTGTTTTGTTTTCCACTCTCCTGAGTGCAATGTCCTAGTGCTTAGTTTGTCTGGACACCTCAATGCTCTGGTTTTCATGGCATTTTCTACTCAGCTCCATGGAGAAGTGCAGGCTTCTCCAATGTCTATTTTGTCTATTGAAGAAGCCTTTTCAGATGCATTTTTTTGTAAAGAAACGTCTATATTTACATAGAGTGCAAAATGCTTACTTTCTCACATGTATTATATAAATAATAACTTTCTTGTGTAAAAATGCCTGTGAAGTTCTCAATGAAGTATTAATGCACGAATTTCAAGGGCTACTCTTGACAGGATGTCCTAGGGTAAAAAAGTGTTTTCCCCTGGAGTTAGAAAGTGGTAACCCCCAAGGGGGTGGTGTTTCTGGGTGCACAGAAGCTACATTTCGCTCCTTTGAAATCAACATATTATAACAGACCGGAAAAGAAGGAGATGACATAGCTGGAGGAGAAGTGTTTTAGGCCACAAGGGGAGAAGGGCCAGGAGCCCCGCTGGGGGCTAGGCCCCCCCAGCCCCTGGCTGGGGGCTGTGGAAGCCCAGAACAGTGTTAAAACTGGATCAGGTGCCGTAGTCAAAGGCTGGAGGAGTTTCTCCACTGCGAGTGGGCAGCAGAAGACACTGAAAGCAACGGTGGAGCTGCACTGAACAGAGAACTGTGGCCGAGAGCCAAAGGAGATAACAAGCAGCAGAGATGGCACATAGCTGGCTGAGAGATGCAGAGATGTTCCTGCAGGAGGGAGAGCTGGCAACAAAGCAGAGAAAACTCAACACAGACTGTTTTGGGGGTAAGACTGAATTACCTTCCCAAAACCCTGAGACCTCCTAGAGAGGAGGGGTGGACTTCCAAACTCTTAGGGAGTCCCGAAATGCAGCAGCATCAGAGAGGAGGAGGAGTGAAAATCTCTAAGGAAGTCCCCTGAAGGCTCGGGCTCGAGAGATTGGGATTTTCACAAAGTAAGAACAGAAAAATTCTGACTGCAATACTTAAATCTGCTACCTTAAAAATAAAGGACACTAACTAATACCACAGAAACTAATTTGAAGGAAATGTGACCTGAAAAGTGACAAAAGGACTTTTCTCTTTTCTTCCTGGACTCTTGTTGAAGAAAAAGAGAAATTTAATCTAATGTAAATATATTATTTCATTGTAGAAGAGATAGTTAAGTTGTCACCTATATATATGTATGTAAATAAACCTTGTAAGTAACTTTTCCCTTCCCCCAATGCTGAGTAGCTGTGTTTTGTCTGAAAACCCTCTCACACTGAAGCAAATTGTGGGAGGGGGGCTTGAACTTGGAAATTGGATTTTTGAGGAATCTCAAACCACAACACAGGAGACAGCAGAGGAAATAAATGTGGGAAAATACAGAAGAAAAGTCCATAAGAATGTTTATATTAGACATGTTTTCTGATTCTTACGAATATATATATGAAATTCTCTCTTCCAGCCTTTTTTTCATTTTCCTTTTCAAACCATTGTGGCAAGGAAAGCCTGCTGAGCCTTATGCAAAGTGAAATGAATTCCTGTATCTTTTGCACCTAATTTGTATTAACTTTTAGCACGAAAAAAAGTTCTTAAAAATAATCAGAAATCATGTAACCTATTTCCAAATATTTAATGTGTGACTGACATCTGTTGGAGGTGGCTCAGCCTGGAGGCAAACACAGCCAAGATACTCACTGAGTTCGTGAGGACATTTGGGAATCCCTTTTGTAATTCTGCCTTCTGAATGAGAAGAGTGTTGCCTTTAACACTAAAAGCCCGTTTGACTTGCAGTATTATCTTGTTTACAGGTCAGGATTCAGTTACTTTTGCTATAAACAGTGCACATGGGATTCATGGTATGATATAAACTGTATACCAGGCCTTTTCTGACACTCTTGTAAGACACTCAGATGCAGTTTCTGTCTGGATACTTATCCAATGATATTGCTGAATTGCTAAGAAATTAGCATTTTATTTTCTCTGATATGACTAAATGAATAACATTTAAAAGCTCTTAATCTCTCTGTTACTATCTGATCATATAGATTACAAAAGTCATGCAATCACTGAGCATATGGATCTCTGTTTAAAACACAGTGCCTATTTGTCATAATTTTTCACTGAATTTTGCTGTTGAAACAATGACCATTGTGAGACAATAGAAATATTCACATTATTGACTAAAATTGTTTTCTTCATGGCCTCTGTAGAGCTTGGAGTTGATGCTATGAGGTGATGAATGTGTCCTAGGAGGAGCTTGGATCACCACTAATCTCATAAATGTCAAAAGAAGTTAAGATCACCCATTACCTTGCAGGTTCAGACTCATTATATCCACACACATTCCTTATGCTGCTGCAAATACCTGAAAGTTAACTTATTATTCATAAATACACTCATAATAAGTAATAAAAGATGGAGAAGTTCATTATACTAGTTTGCAATTTCTTTTCCGTATTGTCTCTTTCTGTCTCTGATTTTATGGACATATTTTGAGACAAGCACATTCCTTTGTTTCCACAGGAGAGTCTCATTTGTTGAAAGAACTCTCTACTGTGAGAAAGTACTATGCTTATTTATGCCAAATATGAAAGGAAATAAACCTTTTATATCATTCTCTGAGAGCAAGGATTGCATGCAAAAGAAATGTAACAAAAATAATTTTGATGTTTGTCAGATGCTTATACCTCCTTTAAAACTTATATGTGTGTCAGTTATGAGAACTTGTAGTGAGCCTCTCCTTGACATCACACAGACAAATTTGGGCAAGGTACATTCAGAGACTACACAAATACTCGATGCTATTTTAGGTGTGGTTCTTTGGCAGACTCCAGTAGCAGTATCATATTCTGCTGTATTAGTAACAAATTTATCCTGCAACTCTCTTTGTTGGAGCCTCATTTAGCCATTGGGAATTTCCATCAAACAGATGCCTGTCCTAGCTCAGGATAGACATATGACCCCTTTTTTCATACCCTGAAATGGCAACCCCTCTTTCCCTATGAAGGAAACTAGAAATTAAGATGTTGCCTCTGGAGCAAATGAAAAATCTGAGTTGCCCTTTCCTTCAAGGAGTATGGCCTTTATGAGCAGCTTAACTCTGGGATTTACAATGAGCCAAAAAATTAGTCATACCAGGATGTTTGTATCCATGACTAACCTAGTCCTATTGAAAGTCTTTGACTGCAAAAACTATGCATCTAAAATTAGAACTGCTGTCTTGCAAAACCTTTGCAAATGTAGCAAAAGATTAACTTCTCAAATGACAGTGTCAGTATTAATTTCTTGCAATAATTTTATTTGTTTCATATGCTGCATTAAAAGGGCTGTAAAAGGGATTCTAACATACTGTCTTTTAAATATTTTGTTCACTGTATGATCTAACCTGAAAACATAAACTTCTACCTTCTGAGAAAAGTGAGTAAATTCTGGAAAGGTGGGCTTGTCTCTTCACTGTGCCTAAAATAAAGATACAAGTTTTTTATAAGGTCATTTTATGCCAGTTAGCTTTTCAATATGCACTAGATCAAGTTCAAAGTACATTTGTCTGTATATTTATTGCATATTATATTGAATATATAAGGTATTTTATTGAGTTCATTATGTTTCATATTTATCTCATTTTGCTTTATTGAGTTCAGCATAATCTTTAACCTACAATGCACTTACATTTTATTTGGTACATTAGAACATTTTCTCGTCTTTCCTTTTGTCATGATTACTCATATGCTTTTCCATGCCACTGTAATACTATTACATTATAAAAGCATTTGACAGAAGATGTTTATCATTGTTTTCATTTTTGAAATGAGTTTTTTAGAAGTCTATAAATTGGCTTGAGCTTAGTATAAAATTTCTACAAGGGGATTCTAGGCACCAGTATCTTAAAGCCTGGCCATTCCAAATAATAAGTAAAGAGGATTTGTGTCACAAATATCTGGCTGAAAATACAATCTGTTCACATTAGCAAACATTCTTGAAAGATTTGATAGTCCTTCGTGCTTTCATTGTGACTTTTAAGGGCATTATAATTTACACCATCACAATCAAGACTTTTAATCTCAGCACACCTCCTGTGAGCTGGATTACCCCCGTAGATTGTAAATGAGCAACACTGGTAATCTCTGCTCAGGAGGCTGTGGTATAGCATTTATGGTAGGAGCTACCAGGGACCTGACTATTGCACTGTTCTGAGCTGTGCCACGGATTCTCTCTGGGTATTTGTCTCCTTACTGCAAAAATAAGACTGATATTGTTTACCAGATAATACTGCTCTTAGTCATGACAAATGCTTGGGCATAGTTGAGTGAAGAAAAAGGTATTTAGCACCTGGGATTCATTACTATTCATCCATAGAAATGTTGAAAGATGTTTCTTTTTCTTTTCTTTCAGATTATTACTTTAAGAGATTACATTCCCAAAATCATTGGTCCAGATGCCTTTAATATGTATATCGGCCTTTATACAGGTTATGATCCCACAGTGAATCCTACAGTTTCTAATGTATTTTCAACAGCTGCTTTTCGTTTTGGTCATGCAACAATCCAACCAATAGTAAGGCGACTGAATGCACAGTATTTAGATGATCCTGAACTCCCAAATCTTCATTTGCATGAAGTTTTCTTTAGTCCTTGGAGGCTCATTAAAGAAGGTATGGTTTTATTTAAACTGTTTCTGGGCTTTGGGGTTTTTTTCTCCCCAGAATATTGTAACTTTTTTTCAAAGTTACATATCTTGAATTAGGAATAGGAACATTTATTTAATTAGATCATTTATTTAAGTTGTTGAATGGATTCCAGAGTAGTAACTCAAACTTGGATGGTTATTCTGAATTAAATAGTTGACTGAATCAGAAAAATGTTACTCTCTAGATTAAACCAGTCTAGTAGATTGACAACAGAAGGATGATTGATGATTAAGATGCTTCATATCTTTTTTTGTGGATAAATTTATTAATAGGTTGAAAATTCTTTTCTGAAGAAAAAGATGGAGGTTTTTTATAGCACTATTACTTATATTTTAAACTAAAGGAGATTTTTGCATATGTTTGAATCTAAAAGCTTGTCTGGACAATGTTTTGAAAACATAGAAACATACATGCATTCACATTTTTTAAAAAAGTTAAAGTGGTTTATATATATATGCTGTAATACTATTATTTTTGTGTTTAAAGGAGGTTTGGATCCTTTACTAAGAGGTCTTCTAGCACATTCAGCAAAACTGCAGGTGCAAGATCAACTGCTGAATGAGGAGTTAACAGAAAAACTCTTTGTATTGTCAAATAATGGTTCACTTGATTTAGCATCATTAAATTTACAGCGTGGCCGTGATCATGGACTCCCAGGTCTGCTGACTTTTGTTGAATTTTCTTCCAACTGATAACGGCAATATAACTGTTTATATTGAAATGTAATCATAAGATTATAAATAATAGTTTTGCTAATCAGAAAAGTAATTTAGTATTTTTAAAATGTAATTTGCTAATATTTTTAACTTTGATGGACATAAAATATTACACAGCTTTTGAAATTAAAACAACCTGGTAAATCTGGAATCTAGAACAGTACTGGTGAGTGGATTGGGGTGTGCCCAATCCTGAAGTTTGTTCTTGCTGGATGCAGCTCCAGAGCAGTGGGGTTTCTGTCTGCAACAACTACTTCCCATTATCAGGCTGTCCTCAGCCTGTGGGATAGGTCAGCTTAGGCACAACCTCATTGACTCTACCAACCACAGGTGTTGACAGATATCTCCAGAAGTGGTGTAGATGGCTTAGTTAGGTACACACTTCATTTTAAGAAATATTACACGTTTGTGCCTGTTTCTTTGCCCTAAATTTTTTTATTCCAGTCAGACCAGGGTAAGACTGAACTAACAGTGAAGGAGCAATAACCCATCAGGCCATGGATATACCTGCTTAGAGGAAGACTGCTGGAGCTTAGTTTAATTTGATTACATCAGCTGTTAAAAAAATACAGTAGGTTCACTGTTCAGTGTAAGAAACTCTTACAAGTATGCCACAGCTTCTGAGAGCAGAGGAGCTGGCTACCAATATGAAGCTCAAAGGCAGCTTTGGCTGCAGTGACCCTGAAATGGTGGAATTCAATATCTTTAGGACTGTGAGGAGGGAGCACAGCAAGATTGCTACCCTGGCCTTCAGGAAAGCAAACTTTTGCCTCTTGAGGGATCAGCTTGGTGGAGTACCATGGGATAAAGCCTTGGAGGGAAGAGGGGCCCAAGAAAGCTGGTTAATATGCAAGATCTAAGCTTGGGAGCAATGCATCCAAACAAAGAGGAAGCCAGGCAAAAATGCCAGGAGGCCTGCATAGATGAACAAGTAGCTCCTGGAAGTAGGAGGTTCCTTCCAACCCAAACCACTCTATGATTTTCTGAATGTAAAAGAAATCTATTTTCCAGAAAGCTGGACATGAGCCCACAGACACTCTCTTTAGTAAAATACTTTAGTTACTAACTTAATTCAGGTTACTTCTTGACCACTCTTCATCTGCCTCTTGCATTCCTAGTCTAGAAATCTCAAGACACAGTGTATGCTGCTATTATCATGTTTTCATATTATCATCTATTATCATTGCTTAAATATGAGCGAATTATTTTAAACTTTAGTTTTCCTTCGTTAAAACAATGTAACAATTGCAGATCCTGCAGTTTCAGATCCTGCCATAATTTCCCCGATCAATTCAACTTATAATAATAGGCCTCTTTTTATATATAACTGTTTATGACTATGATTAAGGTTGTGAAAATCCATTGCTTATTAATTTAATAATTTTATATATCATGCTTAGCAATCACTAATCTTCCTTTATTACAGGTTATAATGAATGGCGAGAATTCTGTGGTTTACCAAAACTGGAAACTCACACTGACCTGAATACAGTAATAATGAATCGCAATGTCACTGAAAAAATCATGGAATTGTACCATAATCCTAGCAATATTGATGTTTGGCTTGGCGGTCTGGTAGAAGACTTTATTCCAGGTGCTAGAACCGGTCCCCTCTTTGCATGTATAATTGGAAAGCAGATGAAAGCACTAAGGGATGGTGACCGGTGAGTTTATTCATGCAGTAAAATCATGTGTAAAAAAACCAGTAGCAATGGAGATTTTATAGCAGCTTAAATATGCTTTAAACAAATCATGCCCCTTACACATTTTTGTCTTAGCTCCTTCTTCATAGTCCCAATTCCAGATGACATGGAGTTTGTTTCTATGGTATTGAGGTGTCCAGCTTTGCACGCCTGCTGAAAATGCAAGGTGCCACCAGATGTTAATTGTGGCAGAGACCACTAACTTCTGTGAGGACAGATGTAGTGCTATGCAGGTTTTATTTCCCCCCTTCATTGTGCTCAGGAACTGGAAGAACCTCAATATTTTTCTTTGACAACTGCAGCAAAGTCAGAATGGATGTGAAAAACCTATAATTCAGGCTTTGTAGGGGGATAATAGAAACACCACATACCTGGCCTCAAGTGAATTGGGACTACAGAATGCTCACAGAATTGCCTCATTGGGCACAGCATAGAATATCACTTCAACCAACCCTGCACAACTGCCATCAGGATCTTGTGCTGGGACAACCCTTCACACTTGGAAGGCAGGAGAAATCAGTGTCAGGTCACAACAGGGTGTAAGAAGCAGTTGTATCTTGCCTCTGCTGCTGAAGCAATTATAAAACCACCGTCTTTTCATTTCTGTCTTGTACTCGTGGCAATAATTTTGAATGTCATGAGAAGACTAATTTAAACAGCTCACACCATGCTAGCAGTGGTGTTTTAAGTATCTCTGGTCCTTACACTCACCTTTAAACTACTCTTATCAGTCACTGTTATGGAAAGAAACCATTATGGAAATAACCATCTGAGATAGAATTTAAATCTGAACTTTAAAAAATGTCAATTAATTAGCTCACAGGAAACGGCAATGTTATTCATAAAGGTGGTATCTTATTAGCATAAACTGTATAGACAACAAACATTCCACTGAGCTGAGTTAAAAACATGGTTGAAAGTCCTCTGAATTGTACAGGTATACTTGACCCTATCTGGAGAAGGACTATCTATGGAGGTCCTTCCAGTCTTGTTCCCATTATTCAGTGCCTTACAATGTTACTTATTATTCAGTGCCTTATAATACTACTGTCATTAATTAAACATAAGCATAATTGAATATGTTAACTCCTAGTTGAGAAAAAGAGAATTCTAGTAATGAAAGAATTCCACAAGTTGCTGCCACAAAGTTTGTGGCAGGTAACTTAAATTTGAAATAGTATTTCTGTCATTAATACCAAAGGAACCACCTAAGAGAAGTTAGAAGTATGTAACAACATTATAGTTGTTGCACAGTAAGCATAAGAATGGAAAAGTCTGAGGCTCATTGCAATGCCTGGTCACACAGAGTATTGGGTGTTATCTGTATCTCCACCAGTGACACTACATACTTTAAATGACAGGTCAGTAAGTAGAGATTTAAAAATATTTTTTCTAACATACTCTTTAAGATCAGAAATCAGGACAAAGTGGAGTTTTTGTCTGACTGAACTCCATTCTGATAGCCCTAAAATCTTTTGTCAGTGATCTGACAAAGTATAAAAGGATTTCTTTTTCCTATGTACTAAACCCAAGCACTGCCTTAAACTCAGCCACATCACCTGAAACAAGTTGTTTCCAATCCATCAGCCCTCTTTTTCCATCTCTTCCTTCTCTGAATCTTTTTGTTGATCTAGGATTTAAAATATTTGGGAAAAAATTCTGAAGTTTTGTCATTCTTTGCATAGAGGTTTGGCCACCTGATACAGATCGAATGGAGCAGCCTTTGTTGGAGTAAACACCTATCTGCTGAGCAGATTAAAAATCATTTTCAGCTCAAGCTTTCCCAGCAGTGTACATAAAACTGAATTTTGTGATGAAAATAGAATAGATTATAATGCACATGAAAGGGGAAATTACAGGTGTAGGAGAGCTGAGTGGAGAAAAGTGTTTAATAGCTTCCCAGGGGCCTGGGAATGGTCAGTGAAGTTTCAGCATGCTCTGAGAAGTTTGGGAACAGTGCGAAGGTGAGGTGTAAGAGGAAGGCTTCTTTATTTTTTTCTCCCTCCAGCTCCTCCACCTCTCCTGCATTTCTTGTCACAGTGCTGCTGAGCTGTGGGACATTAGCTCCACTACTGGTCCTGTTGATTGCCTCCTCCTTCAATATAGGCAATATTACCACAAATCCTGCCTAGGATTTGGGAAAATCCTAATTGACCTGATTACCAGACAGAACTATCTTGGAAGTTTAGCAGTGCTTAACACTGTCTAATACAGATGTTCTATCAAACTCTGCAGAAGTATTAATGCAATGTCTTTATGTACAAAATGTTTATCTTCCTTTTCCCCCCCCTAGTGTTTTCTTTCCTTTTACCTTTAAACATATACATTTGTGTGAATGCATACATATATATTTTATATAATGTATACCGTTTAATAGATACATCTTTTAAGCACCAGCTGGTTATTCTGTTTAACACCACACTCCTGATCTTACAAAGAAAAGCAGCTCCTGTCTGTTCCAGACAGTCCTTTTAGCTTACCTTTTTTAAGATCAAAAGCATAATTACTGTCTTATGTTTTTCTACCATAATGAATCTGCATATCTACAGGTTTCTTAGAAAATTAAGTACTCTATATTAACCAGAGAAGCATTCAGCAATACCTGTTTTCATAGCAACCATTCAGTACTACAAGCAGAATTCAAAAGCTATAGTATGGGAATATCTATTATAGCTACTCCTGCAATTCTCCTTTAATTTATGCTCAAAACAATTTATGAGTGAACAGCAAGTACCTGTGTGTAGGAGTAAGCATCCAGTTCAACCAAATTTTTTTCAAGTTTTTCTCTCAGGATCATAACATTTTTTGTGGCCTCGTTTCATCAATGAAAAGTAATTCTGCAAATATGAATAATTAGTAGTTTTAACCAGCTGTCTTTAACACACTATCTGAGTTGACTAGTACATCAGATTCACACCAGCCTCTTCAGGACTGGTTTTGTATGGCCATGGTATTTACTTTTATTACTGTTATATCTATCTACTTTTTGCTGTAATTCTTATTTTTTGGCTTTTACAAAGAATAAGCAGCTCTTTCAATTTGATCTTTTCAAAAAATTTTCTATCAATCTTTCCAGATTTTGGTGGGAAAATGATAATGTTTTCACAGAAGCTCAAAAGCGTGAACTCAAAAAACACTCATTGTCCCGCGTGATTTGTGACAACACAGGAATTACTGAAGTGCCAGCAGATGCCTTTCAACTTGGAAAGTTTCCACAGGATTTTAAGCATTGTAACAATATACCTGGAATGAATTTAGAAGCTTGGCAAGAATTTTATCAGGAAGGTAACCTAGTAGTTACCATTTTTTTCTGATGGGAGGGGAGATGCAGCATTCCACATGAGGTCTCACCATGGCAGACTAGAGGGGGAGAATTCCCTCCCTCCCCCTGTTGGTCACACCTCCTTTGATGCAGTCCAGGATACGGCTTTCTGGTCTGAAAGTGCACATTGCCAATCTTTCTCTCCTTTCTCAAATTCCTCTGTAAAAAAAGGACACAATTTGCCAACTTCATTCTGACAACTTAAATGGCTGGTGACATAACCAGACATTTTGATAGTTAGGGCAGAAGTTCTTAGAAAATATTAACTAAAAGCTCTGCAGAATGTTATTTTTACAAGGGTTATAAGTCAAACATGTGGTATTCTTTTCCAGAAATGAAAAATTTAAGTCTCGATCACCTTAAAATGCATGAGAAATTTCACTGAAGTTAATTTATAACAGTAATGGAGAATAATGTCCATTTGCAAGGGTAAGGTGGTAATTTTTAAAAAGCCTGTAATACAGGGGTTTTTTATTTGTAGAGGAACTATGTGGAACACCAAAGAGTGTGGAAAATGGTGATTTTGTATACTGTTCAGAATTTGGAAAAACTACAGTGACTTATACATGTCACTATGGATTTCAATTACAAGGAGAAGAGCAACTAACCTGCACAAGTAAAGGATGGAACTTTGAGGCTCCCATTTGTATAGGTATCCTTTTTTATTATTATTATTTCTAAATTTTCTGAAACCTAAAGTCCAGCAGAACTCATCAGAAGTGAACTCACTCCTATGCTTTTTTTGTAGTCAGCCTTCTGGGGTTATAGGTACAATAGTATGATATGTGAAACTCTCCTTGCTCCATAGTGCACTCCATATCTGAGTCTCTACCCATCCTAGTTCAGCAATCAAGTTGATAGTAGGAAAATGACACTAAAAATCACCTAATTAAGCAAAAATAGAATCTATTAACATCCAGTAGGGGAAAAAAAAGCAGTAAATCAGAATTATACATTGCTTCCTCCTACATTCAGCACAACAGCTGACAGACAGTTGTCATTTTCCTAGCATTGTTTCAATGGATGCTCTACATAGAAATTGAGCTCTACACCACTAGGTCATGTGTCATGTTAATAATTTAAGTAAAAGTGAAAAAAAAAATACTGTGAAGTGAATAAATGAAATTGCGTGAATTAATAATTACTTTAGGTCCAAACTCCCTCTCCCAAATAGCTGTGAAAAGACGTGCCAGAATTTAATTACTTCTGCAGGTACAAAAGCAGAGCAGGTGAAAAATCAGTAAAAAGCTAATTTATTTCAACATTTCATGTACATTTTCATGGGAATACTTTTCTGTTATTTTAATCATTCTTTTACCTTCTGTTTCCTTTTCATCTCATTTTTACTGATCAATAGAGTAGGTTAGAAGGAAAGAAAATGTGGCAAATATTTCAAGACTTTCACTCTTCACACTATGAAGTGTGAATTCTCTCTATTCACGTTTCAAATGCGTGTGCTTATAATGGAGTGTGTGTATGTGTGTATATACTCTCAAATACATATGTATACATATATATATACACTCGTACTCAAACGGCTCTACTTTATAAGAACATGAGAGAAAACTAAACCTGAAAAGGCCATATTTAGGAATATATTCTGGATAGCGGTAAATTAATTTGAATGCAAGCGCTGCAGCTGATCTGCAATAAAGTCTGCTTATCGGTATTTCTGTGATAGCAGAATAGAAAGCTATTCATTCTAATTGTATACCTGGTATGGAAAAAGTCAAATGAAATTTGCAGCTCTTTCCTTTATTCAAATCCTATTTATCCACTGAATTCCACCCACGTAAGTACCATATAAAGAAATAAAGCTGTTAAATGAATTATAATGAAACCTTTTCAATAGATTGGTGTTCTGGCAGCGAACTGAATAAATAAGTTAAATGAGTGAATCATTCTTTGTCCTAGTTTCTTTTAATACGTTCAGTAATGTAAACAAAAGATTGTATATCTGCTGTAGGAAAACAAGCTGCTGCATATATTAAATAAGTGATGCTGTTATTAAAGGAAAACCATCAAAACCCACTTATGCAGATGCTACTTGAGTTTTACAGTAGAAAGCACTTTGTTCCACTCATGTCTGTGCAATGTGTTCCCATTCTTTTAAATGTTCGGCAAATTAGGAGTAAATCAAGCAACATAATGAGGAGGATAGAGCTTAGCATTTCTGCAGATGGTTTCAAAATTATATGCTGCTCTGGAAAAGACAGAGTGGCTTGCTGACAAAAACATAGGATTCTGAGAGCTGTTAATTCCTGCTTACTAACTTCAACTTTGACAGAAATCATTTCTATTGTTTCAGGAATTGGTTTCGTGCTAAAATATGCTACCTTCCTTTATATTAAGTGCTATCATACTCCTGATAGATAACTCTGTTTACTTTACTTTAGCAAACTACTGCTCTTTGAGTAGTACAGTAGGCCGGTAAGGTCTGACAGACACTATTTAGTGATGAAGAAGAGTTAGCTAGTTAACAAATAGATTGACTATGGATCTACAGAAGCTGAAAGAGCACGTTTGAATTATAGTGCAGGCAAAGGCTGTACAGGTTCTCTTTTCCAGACGATGATGACGCCAGTGGTCATTAACCCAAAATGTAATTTTGAAGGGAATAATACTTGCTCAGATATCTTCATCCTGAACAACAAGTTCTTTTCTTGCTTCAAATTGGTGTTGTAAGAGCTATTGTTTCTTAAGGGTTCTGAAGTTTAAGATTATTCCTTGTATGATTAGTCTTTTGACTGTCTCAGTTGATAGCTAGCATTGGACACAGTTACTGTTTTGTATTAAAATTTGAGAGAATCAGGCTTGATCCTATTTACAGTGATAGAATTCCCTTAGCTACAATGCTGAAGTCAGTTAATCGTTCCTACAGGGTCAGTTTCTAATACCAATCAAAAACAACTACTTAACTTGAAGTAGTAGATCAACCATTGTGGTAGAAAAGGAAAGGAATGTAACCAAACAGAGAAGACACTGAAGACACTGAAGACTTAGCTAGGTGCCCACATATGGGCTTGCAGATATAACCAAACAGAGAAGACACTGAAGACTTAGCTAGGTGCCCACATATGGGCTTGCAGTTCTTCCCAGGACCATTGGTCAGAGACATTAAACAAGCTGTCAAATAAACAGGACCAATGGGAAACTAACTAAAACAATACCGGACATCTATTTTTAGTCAACTGAATTCAGTCATGTGAATAAATATTACATAGAAAAAAGAAAGGTCCAGAAATAAGGAAAAGAAACCCTTCTATCCCTCCCTGAGTACTTTCTTCCTGCACTGCATAATGTCTCCCATTTCATCATATAACCAGGATATGAGAGAAAAAGGTCTTGAATGGCATCAAGAACAATATGTTTATGCACATTTTCCAATGGATAACTGTTCATCTGCTCATCATTTTCCCAGGATATTGTAATTTTACAGAATTCATATAACATCTAGAAAAAACATATTTGCATTGATATCAGAAATTACTGTTATAAATTTTGTCACCAAAGGTAACCTGAAATCTTGGCTCCTTAAAATCATTCCTAGAAGTGTATAGAACTTTGCCAGCATTATTATTTCCACTATCTCTATAGAGAACAGGATGAAAAATGTTTATGGAAGAACCTAAAGTCTTAGGACACAAACACATGCAAGAAGAGCTCTCAGATTTGAGGTCTGCAGTTTTGAAAATTCAGCCAATTGCCATTTTAAGCTTTTGGCAGTATCAATAAGGATCTTTGTCAGTATCCATGTCTCATTGAAAGTGTACAATACCTTTTATTTATGAATCCTTGTGAAAGGTGTTGGTGAGAAGTTAGTAATCCCTCTGTAATTTGTAATTATTATTGATCAGTGTGTATTCATTTTGCAGATATCAATGAATGTGAAAATAAAATTAATCCACCATGCCCTCCTTCTTCTACATGCATTAACACTGAAGGCAGCTACAAATGTCTCCATACTGATCCTTACAAGCTGGCAGAAGATGGAAGAACATGCATTGGTAATGCTTGTGAACATACTGTCCATTAGAACTTTCTCTGTTTTCTTTTATAATGCTGTAAAAAAATCATAAAACTGAGATTTATCGAAGAGTTGTTAACATATGTGAAAAACCTCTACGGAACTATGGGCTTAAAGGCACAGTCAGATTCTGTAAATAAAGGTATTGGATAAATAATACAGACAGAGAAATAAGCTTTTCATTGTCCATTCCTACTGTATAAAATCCACTGTTTTCCTTATGGTGATACCTTAACCCTTTCAGAGCTAGAAGAAATCATGCATTTTCTTGGGTTTTTTCAGCTTTTCAGCATGTTAATTTGAGCCACTCAGAGTTTCATCTGAATCAGAAAATAGAAAAAAAACCCACCTATTTTTCAGATGTTTCTTCTCTTTATTATTTACAATTTATTCCTTTTTCCATTCAGCCATGCTTACATTAAATTACACCTTTAAATCCAGAGACCAAAACCTGCTCTCAGATTAATTTAAGAGGTTAGTACACTGGTGTTGAGTGCAACAAGGATTTTACGAGGTCACTACACTAGCATGAATATGAGGCAGCTCCAAATATAAGGTAAATTTTATATTTCAAGGGAGCAAGCAGAAAGTGCTTAGTCAGTGCTGCTGTGTCAAGTGATCATTATCCCAGACCAAGTCAAATATGTTTTTCAGAGCTTCATTTGCCTTCCAACAGGTCAAAAAAAATGGGTGCAAGTACAGCCACCAAGGCCATTGCTGTATGTCTACCATGTAAGGTTAGCACCTTCCTTTAGATCTCAGTTAATGAAGTAGTTTGTTATGTCCATGGACCTATCCTTCCATGCTATGCTAAGGCTTGAATTGTTGAAGCTCTAGAGTCAGTCATAACAGTTTCTGCGATGTAACACACATTGCTTCCTCTTACATTTTAAAGCTATGGAAGAAAACGTCCATTTAGGAAATGATTGGCAAAAGCTGGCAAATGATTACCTGGGTCTCACTTGCATTCTTTTATAGAAACAATGAGACTTGCTTTACAGAATCTCTGCCATAACTACATTTTAAACTGATTGGTCAATTTGAAATCATGCCATTAATTCAGCTGATAATTCTTTAAGCCACTGTAGAGTATCAGACATTGCATATTGGCTATAACTTCTATTGTCAAACTAACACAAATATTGAAAAACTTTAAAAAGATATCACTCCCCTTCTTAGGTTCAAGCATGAAGTTGTAACTGTTCTTTACCTCATTGCCTCTTTACCTGCTCGCTGGGAGCCTCTAGTAGGTGTCCATTGCCTCTTGTCCTGTCACTGGGCACCACTGTAAAGAGCTTGGCTCCACTGTCTTTGCACCCTTCCTTCAGACAAATTGATAATTTCCCCCGAGTCTTCTCTTCTCAAAGCTAAACAGTCCCAGAGCTCTCAGCCTTTCTTCATAGGAGAGGTGCTCTAGACTCTGATCATCTTTGTGTCCCTTCTCTGGGCTCTCTCCAATATGTCCATGTGTCTGTTGTACTAAGGAGCCTAGTCCTGCACACAGGACTCCAGATGATGCCTCACCAGTGCTGAGCAGAGGGGAAGGATCATCTCTCTTGACCTGCTGGAAATACTCTGCTTAATGCATCCTAGGATGCCATTAGTTGCTTTTTCATCGAGGTTTCATTGCTGGCTCATGTTCAAGTTGGTGTCCATGTGAACCCACAGGTCCTTCTCTGCCAAGCTGCTTTCCAGTCATTTGCTAGTGTGTAGTGGTGCCTGGGGTTATTCCTTCCCAGATGCAGGAGTCTGTATTTCCTCTGTTGAACTTTGAGGTGCCTGTCAGCCCATTTATCTAATCTATTGAGGTTCCTGGGCAACCTGCTGTAGATGATCCTACTTAAACAGGAAGATTTGACTAGCTTATCTCAAAAGGTTCCTTCCAGCCTCAATGACTTTTTGATTCTGTGATTAGGTATGGAGAAAAGGAGCGGGATTTTAGCAGTGTTTTATATGGTTTCTCTGTAAATTGCGGTTCTTATCATGCTAGTGTGCATTGAGAAATAAGTAGTCAATTAGCTACTTGACAGTAGATTGCTCCAAAAAATATTTGTAATAATAAGTGCAAGGAAAATGTTACAGCCAACTGTGTTCTAGTTCATTTAATTTCCATATTAAAAAAAATATGAAAAATTTACATAAAACAATTTGTCTGTATTTTTACTTCAACTGATAAGTTCTTATCAAGGTCATTGAGTGGCTTGGTTTGTTGGTCTATTGTTTTTGCATTTTTAAGGACATCATTCATAAGGCCTAGATAATTTTACCATACAGTTAGAGTAAGGTTTTGAGACTTAGTAAAAAAAGGGAGTGCAACACTTTTCTAAACCAACATATTAATAACAGATGAGCTGCTGAAATTTTGAAGTAATAAGAATTTGGAAATCTGCAGTATAGAGTGATTTAAAATTATAAGAGCACTTCACATTATAAGAATTTTAATCTTCAAAACTAAAATGCTCTTAAAATTTTGAAGAGCTCTAGTATGCTAACTAGTCAATACTGCAAATCTTTATAACCTTCAATCCTGCTTTTTTGGGTAGAATTCATCAGTCGTCTCAAGGCTTTCTTTTCTAAGGTTGGATAATGTTTTAACTCAGATGGAAACTTGTATACGGTAACTTTATTCAGGAAGTGAATTTATTGAATTACCTCAAATCAAAGCTGCTCATCCCTTACCACTCTGGCTCATGGTTTATGTTATATTTAGAAGGAAAAAAAAATAAAATCAAGCAAACAAAAAAACCCCATAAAAGTCTCAATTTTCCATCTATGCATACTCTAACCACAAGAAAAAGACTGTCACATTTTATATATCTTCACTGTTGCCCCATGGTGAAAATATTTAAAATGTGTGTGTTTTGCCTCCAAAATGAAGTAGCTAAAGTTAGCTAAAGCTAACCATTTATGAAGACTTATTCAATGGGCAAAAACTTTTAGATTGAAGTATGTCATATACATAATTACTTGTTCCTACCCTCACAACAATCAGTGGAAATCAGTTTGATTTTTTAAATAAATCCTAAATTATTTGATGTTATCTCAAATAAAAAAGCAATCTCAATTTATTTAGTCACATTTTTTTTAAATATGACAAATATATTAAAAACTTGAAAAAGCTGTGTTAAAAATACTTCCAACAAGTACTCTAGCATGTGTTTATATGATTAATGGATGAGGATTATCTAAAGTGCTCGTGGGAAATTTCTAATTCAATGAGTAATACAGTTTGAACTTTACATTTTAAATTAGATTACAAATTAATGAAAAAATCTATCGAGTGTTTTAAACTTCTATAACTTTAATGAGGCCTTTCAGTGACACTACAAAAAGAACACATGCATTAAAAGGATAGGAGCCTATTGTGTGACTGCCCTCAGCCTCTTTCATGTCTATGTTGTGGGCAAAAAATGAACAATACTGGACTCTTACCTGGAGGATTTAATTCTGTCATTAAAGATGTCACAATGTAGTCTAAAGGAACTAACATGAACAGGTGAATAGTTTTAAAATTAAAGGAAGTCTCATGTTCATTTCTCTACTGTTGATGAGCAGGTTAATATTACCTTCAACACTGTATACTTCAGCAAATGCGATTTTCAACTGGAAAGGAACTCATTCATTTTACCATTCTGTTTCTTACGGTGCTAACCATTACCTGACTCTTTCAATATAAATATTCGTGTATATCCAGCCCATCTTATACTTTTTAAGGATATGAAGTCCAACTCACTTGAGAATTGACCATAAGTCTTTTCCATAACCAGCTTAACCTGGTTGTGCAGCGTGTATGAAAAAAAAAAGATTAAAATCTCCAATTAATCAGAGGACAACTCCCACTAAAGAATTGCCCTTAACTGTTAATCCCAAGGACCAGCTAGGTAGACCCAGAAGTGACGTTTCAGGGTTATCTGTAATACGCTATTAATAGCTCCCTGAAAGAACAGACAAACTGAAAATTAAGAGGTGCTTCCCTCTCTGGTACTGAAATAAGATCTAGCTGCCAAGAAATGAGGATGCTGTGTCACATTAAGTATATTCTATATAAATCAGAATGAATATTAGACATTTTGATTCATTTGATTAAAAAAAGACCCTTTAGTTTCCACCATTTTAGGAATTATCAATTTCCTTTTTTTTTTATAACATTGAGTTTGAAAGTACTATGCTAGTCTTTAGTTTAACCAACATTTATCTTTAGTTTAACCAACATTTATCTTATTTATCTAAATATGCAAACATTTCTTCCGTGTAGAATTTCTGCCCGTGGTTTGTTTTTTTCTCTGCATAGTCAACCAGTAGCAAATATAAAGTTCTCAAATTTTTACCTTTTGACATATTTCTTCTTTTTGGAGTATGATGATTAGACTTTCTAAAACTTTACATTTGCTTACTGTAGAATGTAGCAGAAAACATTCAACATATTTTAAATTTTTATTGAAAATACTGCATTAACTGAAATGGCATTGAAAACGTGGTGAACTTTTTGAGTTCAAGGAGGGGAAACGGTTTCTTTTGATATGTGTTTTTAAGTTAGATTCTGTCTATTGTTTGCCGCGGTCCGAAAAGGGGGGGGGGGGAGAGGGGGGGGGCGGAAACCGTGGCACTGCACGAGTCCGGGACACAAAGGTGGGATGCAGGTAGAATGCTTTATTCACGCGTGCACCCGGTCTTTTATCAGCTCGGGAGGGGAAAGGGCCAGAACATGGGGTGGAGCATGAGACAGACAAGCGGTGGGGGACAAACCAGGATAGGGACACGGGCAAAAGAGGGAGGAACGTGGGAGGAACAGGGGAGAGAGGGGTGAATGGAGGCTGTCCCCTCTCTGCAGCTCCTCCAGCCAATCGGCAGAGAAACAGGGGAGCAGGGAAACAGGGAGGTGAACAGGCTGGGACATGCCCGGGAAATACAAATTCTGGGGAAGCATACAATGTGTATATACATAATAACTGTAAAGTCTGTATCATAAAGTCCTTTCAATCACTGTACATCTTTTTCCACTTCTGAGATTTTCCCCATTCTGATTCCTGGTCCTTCACAATTGTTGCTGCTTTTAGGTGTCTAAGTGAACAATGATTACAGAAAATAGATTTAGGGTTTAACGGACTAGACCATAGGTATCCCTCTCAGACCACACTTTCCCAGTTGCTTTCTGACCCATTGCAATCTAAAAGAATGAAGTTATTGAAGTCTATAGGTAAAATCATGTCACTTGACATCACGGGGACAGACAGACTCTTTCGGAGATCCTCAGCAGAACAAGGAAACAATAAGTTGTAGTTTCAATGGAAGCTTTAATTTTTTTACAGAATATTATAATTAGCATAGCAGAAATAGTGTAGCACAATTTTGTAAGTAGCATAGCACAGATTTTTTAGTACAGCTTAGTTTATGGTTCCTAATTACCTGGATCCTCTGCACACTGAGTCAAACCTTAATACTTGGCTTACTGTATCAATATAAGAATCATAATCTAGACTCAAAACCAGGTAAAAGAACACAAGTCATTCCCTCAGTCCTTGGAGAAAATGGATGATGGTAGAGGCATCCCTGACCACTGAGGGATCACAGGTATTGTTCACCAGCAGCAATTCCAGTGCAAGATCCACTTAGGAGCTGTAAATGCTAAATTTTATAGACAATGCTCTGTGTGCTGTTACATTTCCCTGCTCTGAGAGAGGGTCATCCCAGCCTGGTTGGCCAAGTGCCTGGAACCTTCAAGGCTGGTAAAGGAGAGATGATGTAGTAATAGGAAAAGGCTTTAAACTGGAAGAGGATAGGTTTAGATTAGCTATTACAAAGAAATTCTTTACTGTAAGGGTGTTGAGGCACTGGAACAGGCTGTCCAGAGAAATTGTGGATGCCCTATCCCTGGAATTGTTCAAGGCCAGGTTGGATGGTGGTCACAGCCCTGCCGTCTCCTGGATTGCTGATAGCTGGATCTATGCTGGATCTAGGGGTGCTAGCTATAATTCTCTCTTTTTCTCTCTCTTTTTTCACTTCTTCTCCTAATCTCCTTGACATTTTGGTAACTTAAACCCAGATGGCTTGGATTTTGCTAAGATGTATGGGTTAGCATGTGCTAAGTCAAAGCTTTGTGGAATGCTTTGATTGAATGTTGCCCTTCTAACTTTTGCCAAGTTCCTTATTTTTTAAAGTTTACCAGGAAAAGTGTGTTATTTGGCCTCCTGAGAAACGTGAGCAGTGTCTTCTCCCATGCGCCCTCTCAAGGTATAAAAGAACTGAAGGCCCTTTTAATAATATCAGTAGGCGAATTTTTTTGAGCATTGTGTAGTTTTAAAGTAAAACCCCTTCGACGAGCTTGGAGCCTGGTGTCTTACAGATGGGGCTCTGAAAAACCTGGTCTACTAGAAAGTGTCCCTGCCCATGGCAGAGGAGTTGGAGCAATATGGTCTTTAATGTCCCTTCCAACCCAAACCATTCCATGATTCTATGATTCTAGGGAATTTAATAGGGAGAAGGAGAAGAAGTCTTGTGCACAGGAACTTCAGGGTCTCATGGGGAGTGGAAAGGGGACTGACACACAACGAGCTCAGTCACAGAGATTGGACATTTGCTTTATAAAATTGTGTTATCTATGCTAACTATGTTACCATGGATCAGGAACAGGGGGTGCAAGCCGTTGAGCAGGACGTATAAATCACAGACAAGGAGAAATAACCATTTGTGACACTGACACATATCTCATAAGGTAGCAGCTATCTGTACAATTCTGAACAAAACTATCTAACTAATCTTTCTAAGATATTTTGAAATTTTTGTGCATTTTCCCAATGCAATCTGTAAACTCTGATTTTCAAAGCCAATCTCCATAGTTAGGGAAGATGAAAGTATGTCAGAATTTAATTTTTGTGAAAATGTTAGCATTTAATACAATTCAGCTGAGTATACAGCTTTACAACATTAATTCCTTTTTTCAGTATGCAGTTATTTTTGTATATTATTAGAAAGTCAGTCAGTCAGTCAGTCATGGCTAGGCTTCGCAAACGAAGATTTAGGAAAGCTCTATCCACGTTTGTTACAGGCACGTTGGTGGCTAATGAGACCAATACGAGATAGACAAGTCCGGTTGCAAAAGGCACAGC